TGTGTGTGTGTGTGTGTGTGTGTGTGTGTGTGTGTGTGTGTGTGTGTGTTTCTCATGGTGATCAGGATGTTTAGCTGCAAGACTCGATGTTTTCACATGTGAATGAAAAAAGGTTTTCTGGTCATTAATGCTTTCCTTCCTTTGCAAAGTATTTGGTTTTCTGGAGATGCTGTTAACAAATACATGTTCCGTGGGAGAAAAGGTCCAAACAATCTTCTGACAGAAAAAGAAACAAATGTACGACAAAGATGACTTCAGGCAGAGGAAGAGCGGGGAGGGGGGCAGCTATTCCCTCTTTCCCCCCCCCTTGCTCAGATAAAGTCAGATAGCTGCAATGGAACAATTTTTTAACCACATGAAAAATAAAAACATCACAATTTTTTCTACAAATCAAAATCGGTTTAATTTGACAACTTATTTAGCAGAGCRAGCACAGTAAATATACACAGGAATAACTGGTCACGTGTGGATGCAATGTTCCATTAAAAGCACGGTCACTGTGTCTGAGCTTGTTCAGCTGCAGCTTGTTCAGCTGCAGCCTTGGCAGCTAACCGCTCCTGTCGTTCCTGTTCAGATTTCGCCCTCATCTCCTTCTCCCTCTGGATCAGCGTCCTCCTCTCAGCCGCCCAGTCCACCAATCGCTTCTCGTACTGCTCCAGGTCCTGTTGCTCCGCTGCGGCCAGGCTCTGCTGGGCCTGGGTGGTCGTTAAAGCCTGGAAGGAGGCGGGCTCCACTTTACCCTGAGACTCCAGCTGACTGCTCAGCTCCTGCAGAGGACGGGAGACAGAAAGATGGTAAAGGAACAGAAGACAAACTGATCTTTTCAGGGTAGAGGGAAATTGTGTTTTGGGGGATTCTCAGAATAATGCAAAAACAAACAAAAAAAAGTTTTTCAAGAAGTGAGATACTGGATATTTAGGTTTCTGCTTCGTTAGTTGACGGGCAAAATTCAAAATCTATTTAGTAAAATTAGAAATAAGTCAYTTTAGAAGGTCACAGCGAGGCTCAGAACCAGTGGTGTGCCGTCAGGGCCAGCAAAGCSTTCTCTGCTGGCCTAAACACAATCAGAATCACTAATATTTTTCATTTATTATAATAGTTATTAATATTATTATTAGGATATAATTATTCTTGAAATATCTGTTTCATAGTTTTTGTCCTGGCTGCGCAGCTTCCAGCAGCTTGTATTTATTTTAGAGGTTTTATCCAATCATATTTTGATCWTCATCTGTTGCTAGGGTCCACAAATCTGCCTCAGGCCTTCAGAACGAGCAGTGAAGGCACCTGAAGGGTGAAACACATGAGAGCGATACTGCTGCTTTGASCAATCAGGTGCTGAGGTGAAGACACCAGAGCCTGCGAGCTGGCCTCGGACAGCRTCAACATTTTCTCGTCGTTTGATTGGCTGATCAGAGAGCAGACAGTCAGAACCGGGAAACTAAATTTCTGTAGCATTTCTGAAGCTAAATGCTGAGCGGACATTCTTAAGAGTTACAGAAAATTAAAACTTATAACAAAAACACATAACAGAACAGACTGGAGTTTTAGTGTTAGCTCCATGGTGGTGATAGGAAAGGACTTATTGTTGAAACAAAAACGGGAGGACCTGTATGACAGAGCTGGATTTTTCTTGAGGAATAAGAGGATGGAGTTTTTAAAGAGATAATAAAAAGTTCTGGTGAGTAACATATATTTTATTTAAATGTTTTATTTGGTTATCAGCTTATTATATAACCGTATTGATGCTGTTGGTAATGTTTGGCACAGCTGTGGCT